GCCCCAGGAACGCCGACCTGTCCGTCACCCTGGGCACCTCCCTGCAAATCCGGCCCAGCGGGAACCTGCCCCTCGCCACCAAGCGCCGGGGAGGCCGGCTGGTCATCGTCAACCTTCAGCCCACCAAGCACGTAGGTGCCCGAGCCCACCCCTGCCCGGGGCCCCCACGCGCCCTCTGCCCCCGCCTGACCCCTCCCCCACCCCGCAGGACCGCCACGCCGACCTGCGCATCCACGGCTACGTGGACGACGTCATGACCCGGCTCATGGAGCACCTGGGGCTGGAGATCCCCCCCTGGGACGGCCCCCGCGTGCTGGAGAGGGCGCTGCCGCCCCTGCCCCGCCCGCCCGCCCCCAAGCTGGAGCCCAAGGAGGAGCCCCCGGCCCAGCTGAACGGCGCAGCCCCCGCGGACCCCAAGCAGGAGGCGCCCCCAGCGGAGCCCTGCGCCCAGCACTACGGCTCCCAGCCCGCCAGCCCCAAGCGGGAGCGGCCGGACAGCCCTGCCCCGTGCAGGACCCCCAAGAGGGTCAGGGCCGAGGCGGCTCCCAGCTGACCAGGGTGCTCGGGGCGGGCGGGGCTTTTTGTACAAACCGCGGGTTCTCTTTTCCTTATGGGCTCACTTTGTTACTTGCATCTGTCCCCCGGGGACCTCAGGGCAGACTCACTCTCCACCGCGTCTCCCTTGGCTCTGGTGGCCTCCAGCGGGGGCCCGGGAACGTGCCGCGCCCCAGAGCTGTCACCTGGGCACCTGTGCCCCGCCACGCCCCAGCCTCTGACTCAGGGTGTCCCCAGGAGGCTGGCCGCACCCTCCCTGCCTCCAGCCTAAACAGGAACGAGCCCCTCTGCCCCCACACACCCCCACCCCAAAGCCACCTTCACGTCACGGGCCCCCTGGGGGGGGCCCACACCTCCACGTGGACCGCACAGGAGAGGCTGGAGGGAGGGCGAGGGGGTCCACCCAGCCTCCAGAAACGTCTCCAATGCAATAAAAGCAGAACTTCCTTCTCGCCTCTGAATGTGTCTAAATCCAGCCTTGTGCCGGGTCCTAGCGCCCAGAGGCGGGAGTGCGGGGGCCCCTCGCCCGCCGGAACGTCTTCCTGTGCTTGTTGCCATCCTGCCCCACCAGCCTGGGGTCGAGGAACCAGGGCTCACCCCCAAGGGAGGCCCAGAGGGATCAGGCCAGTTTTTTTTTTTTATTATTTTATCTCAGCATATTATGGGGGTACAGATGTTTAGGTTACGTATGTTGCCCTTGCCCCCCCTGCCCCCCAGGCCGGTTTTCTGATGTTGGTGACAATAGCAGCATTTCTTTTTTTCCGTTTTGTTTTGTGCAGCAACCGTCTCCGTGCGGGAGGCTGCCGCTCCTTGAGCACGCGGTCGGTAGTTACATACTGATGTGCATGGTTTTTGTCGTTTAATATTTGCTGCGACGCCGCGACCCCCTGAAGGAGAGAGGCCGAGTGTTTGGGGCTGAGTTGCAGCCCAGGCACCTGTGCCGCATGGCCCGGCTTTCGTCCCTCCCCAGCTGGGACCTGGGGCCGTCACTGCGCTGCAGTGCTGGGGACGCTGGCAGAACTCCCCGGGCGCCCCGCCGCTCTCCAAGGTGCTGAAGCCGCGCCTGGCGCCTCCCTGGCCGCTGCTCCAGCTCCGGGATAGGTGGGGGGCCCCACGCCTCACTCCCCCATCCCAAGCCGGCCCAGCCCTTCCTTCCGGGGGGTGTGGGGGCCCCAGACTCCACTCCAGCCCCCGCCCAACTCCGCTTCCGCACGGGGACAGTGTTCCGTCAAAATACTTTATTAAGGACCGGGCAGTCCTACCAAAGGGGCGCACTGCGGCCGTGGTGGCTCTGGGGCCAGGGTCCCTGCAGCCTCTGCGGCTTCCTCCTCCCCATGTGCGACAGAGGCAGGGAGGGGACCCGGCTGGGGGAGTCACCGAGGCACCTGTCGTGTCTGTGTGTGTGTCTTGGGTCTGTCTGGGTCTGTCCAGGCTGTTTCCTTCTGCGCCTGGCTCTGTGGAAAGCCCGACCCCTGCCCTGTGTCTGCGGTGGCCTCAGGCCGTCCCCGGGTGTGTGGCTGTGAAGCTGCGCCTCCCACTCCCAGTCTCTTCGCCGAGGCCACCACCTCACCCCCGATCCCCGGGCCTGTCACTGTCCACGGAAGCACCCCGGAAGCGGCCTTGGGCAGAGGGGTCTGGAGCACGTTCCCGGAGGGGCTCAGAGCTCGTCACCTGCCGCCTCCAGCCCTGAGAGTCCTGGGCTAAGGACAGACTGAGGCGTCACCCAGTCTAGCAGGGTGGCTCGGCCCAGCTCCGTCGAGTTGCCCAGGACCAGGGTCGAGTTGTCCAGCTCCCGTGTCAAATTGCTCCGTGCCAGTGTGTTCTGGACGCCCCAGTCCACCCCGGGGCTGCCTGGAGACCCTCCGTGGGGCGCGCCAGCCTCGGGCCAGGGTCCTGGGACCTCGGAGCCTGGCGCGGTGTCGGGGGCCACGCGGGAGGCAGCATCGTTGTGCAAAGTTCTGGAAAAGACTGACGAGGGGTGGGGGGCCCAGGAGGGACAGGGTGAGGATGGAGTCCTGCCCTCCTTCCCATAGCCCCCAGCCTCAGGGAACAGGGGCGCAGGGCTCTCTGCCCCCTCCCAGGGCACTTGGGGAGCCAAGGGGACTTGTGCCCCCAGCACAGCCACAACAGGGGTTCCAAGGGGGCCCCCCTACCTCGCATGGGCGCGAAGTCCCCGGGGCTCTCGGCTTTGTTGGCAGCAAAAGGGCTGATGGAGGGGAGGATGATGAGGGCGAAAGACAGCAGCAGGACCTGGCAGAGATGGGGGCGGGGTCACCCCTTCCCCTCCTCCCCCGTGAGCACCTCCATCTCACAGGCAGGGAAACTGAGGCCCCGGTGGCGGCTTGTGCTCACGCTGGGGCATGAGGCCGTGCTGGTACCCCCACCCACCTCCCCACAGGCCCCTCTACCACGGCCCAGGACCCCCGTCCACCCTGGGGCCAGGACTCACTGCTATGCAGGTGCCCGTCTGGACAGACTTGCTGGTGGACTGGACCACAAGGGCCTGGAGTTTCTTCAGCTGCTCCAAGAGGGACCTCAGAGGGACAAGCAGGCTTGGGTGAGCCCTGCAGAGCCTTGGTCCTGCTTCCTGCCCACTTCTGGGGGCTCCCAGCCCTGCCGAAGTCTGAATTCCATTCACCTTGCTAGCTAGGCCTGCTGTGTTTTTTGTTTTTTGTGGGTTTTTTTGAGACAGGGTCTCGCTGTGTTGCCCAGGCTGCAGTGTAGTCGCGTCACCATAGCTCACTGTAACCATGACCTCCTAGGCTCAACAGATACTCCCGCCCCAGCCTCCCCAGCAGCTGAGACTGCAGACACCACACCCAGGTAATTTTTAAATTTTTTCCAGAGACAGGGTCTCACTGTGTTGCCCAGGCTGGTCTGGAACTCCTGGCTTCAAGCAATCCTCCCACCTTAGCCTCCCAAAACACTGGGATTACAGGCGTGAGCCACCATGCACGGTCCCCTGCTGCTCTTGGAAGCCCCAGATTCTTCCTCTTCACCTGCACAAACCCCCACCAAACCCACAAAGGCCCACAAGACCCTGCACGACCTGCCCCGTCCCCTCCCTGCCCTGGTACACACACAGTAGATGCGAAATAAATACTGACTGAATGGAGGCAGGTGCAGAATCAGGTGCAATTCTCCAACACACCAGCTTGTAGCCTCTGGCAATTGCAGAAGCCATTTCCTCCACCAGAAGCACTTTCTCCTACCGAACTCTTATACATCCTTCAAGACCCCAAGTCCAAATCCCCTCCTCTGTGCAGCCCACCTCCTTTGTAGGCAGAGCCCTTATTCCCTACTCCTCCTTGTAACTGCATGGGCTCTCTGCCCTTCGTCCCCCATGTCCCGCAAGGGACTCTGGGCCTGCTCCCCTCATCCTCTGCCCTGGCTGGACCCAGACTCACAGATTTTGCTTCTCAAGGTGCAAGACTTTCCTCTGCAACTCTTGATTATGGGCAGTGCAGGCTGACATCCTGTGGGGACAATGGCACAGTGATAATCAGAATATGCCTGTCACCATCTGGCCCAACTGACATCTCCCTGGGTGGCCTTATTTTACAAGGGGGGAACCCAAAGCCAGAGAGGAGAAGTCACTATCCAAGGTCACTTGTCAAGCCCTCAGCAGGGCTGCAATTTGAACCCACGTCTGCCTGGTTCCTGGGTCCCATCTCTGTGTTAGCATGGGGTGCTTCATCCAAGACAGCGTCCCCAGGACTGGTGGAATGCCAAACTCAGGCAGTGATGTTTCCAGAAGAAACCTTTGGACCAATCCTCATCTTGAGGCCTGATACTCTTGCAACTGCTACAGATTTTTTTTCTCATGGGAAGCACATGGGTTTACATGCTTTGTTATCCAAGGAGATGCATAAGGATCTAGGGTCTCTTTCCAGAAGATAGGCCAGCCACATAGCAACCATGAGAGAGAATAAATTCCTCTCACTGAAAAGCCCTCCTGTTGATAACTCATGGGATGATGAAGAATTTATAATATAAATTGGAGAAGACTTAAGGACCAAAGGATAATGAGGATAGTACATATCAAAATGTATGGGGTGCAGCCAAAGCAATGCTGAGAGGAAAATGCATAGCTTTAATGCAGCTTAATGAGCTGAGCATACACATTTAAAAATTAGCAAAATAACAACAGAATGAGCCCCTTTCAGGCTGGGCATGGTGGCTCATGCCTGTAATCCTAGCACTGTGGGAGGCCAAGGTGGGCGGATCGTTTGAGCTCAGGAGTTCAAGACCAGCCTGAGCAAGAGCAAGATCCCATCTCTACTAAAAAAATAAGAAAGAAATTATCTGGACAACTAAAAATATATAGAAAAAAAAAAATTAGCCGGGCATGGTGGCGCATGCCTGTAATCCCAGCTACTCGGAAGGCCGAGGCAGGAGGATTGCTTGAGCCCACGAGTTTGAGGTTGCTGTGAGCTAGGCTGATGCCACGGCACTCTAGCCCGGGCAACAGAGTGAGACTCCATCTCAAAAAAATAAAAAAATAAAAGAAAAAACAGAATGAGCCCCTCTCAATAAAAAAAAAAGGAGGGATGCAATAAAGATAACAGTAGAATTGAATGTACTGAAAAACAAAACCACAAATTGTGTGGGAAAAGAGAGACAAATTCATTCTTTGATGTGAATGATAGGCAAATCTCTGGCAAAACTGATCAAGAAAATAAAAGAGACACAGAAAATAAACAACATGAAGAACTAAAAAGGGTATCACTGCAGATATTGAAGAGATTAAAAATCATAGGAGAGAAGTATGAACAATTTTATGTCAATAAATTTGAAACGGTCAACCTCCCAGAAAAAATATGACATCCTGAATTGACTCGAGAGGAAGTAGACCACCCAAGTAGACCTGTGACATTCAATAAAATCATTCCAGGTTTCAAAAGCGTTGGTTTGCTTTTTATGTTGCTGTTAAAGAATAGAGAGCCTGTGTCTCCTCAGTGTCTTAAATGAGTTAAGAGAGAGGTGATTGGGTGAGAT